TAACCATCCAGACATACAAACCTGATTTTGTGATTCTTCTTGAACCGCAGGTTAGTGGTAACGCTGCCAATGCTGTGTGTGATAAGCTGGGTTTTTCGGATGTTATTCGGGTGGAAGCGGTGGGGAGGCAGGGTGGCATTTGGGTTTTTTGGGACGCTCGGCGGTTCAATACTCAAATCATGTCAGCCTGCTCGCAGCATGTCACCATCTATATTTCGCAGAGCCATATGATCGACTGGATTCTTACTGCGGTGTACGCTTCCCCTAGCTCCGCTCAGCAGCAACCTCTTTGGGACTGCCTCACCGCGCAAAGTAAAGCGATCAGAGTTCCTTGGGTCCTTACTGGGGATTTTAACGCCATCAGATCCCCGTCTGAGAAATCTGGGGCTGCTTCGGTAGCGACGCTTCGGAGATGCCGCATCTTCAATGATAGGATTAATGATGCTGACTTGGTAGACCTCGGATTCTCCGACCCCAGCTTTACCTGGACGAAGGGAGAGAAATCCGATACCTACAAGGCCAGCAGAATTGACAGGAGTTCATGTAATATTCAATGGAATGCGGCTTTTCCGAATACTGCTGTCCGGCAACTTCCGCGTCTCAGCTCTGATCACAATCCCATTCTTACCTCCTTTGCTTCCTAGAGGCAATCTCTTCACTCTCCCAGTGCTTTTAGATTTGAAGGAGCATGGCTTACTCATAATGACTTTTTGAATACCATTTCAGGAGCGTGGGATCCGAGTGTTTCCTTGCCAAGCGCGCTGCAATCTTTGAGTATCGCTCTGCAAGATTGGAACCGGGATGTTTTTGGTAATGTGCAGCAGAGGAAGAGACGGCTTCTCGGACGAATTCAAGGAGTTCACCGGCGTCTTTCGCAGGGATTTTCCCCCGACCTATCCAAACTTCACTCCAAGCTTGAGGTTGAGCTGAATGCAGTGCTAGAGCAGGAAGAGCTTATCTGGTACCAGCGAGCTAGAGAAGGTTGGGTAAAGTTTGGGGAGCGCAACACTAGTTACTTTCACCAGCAGGCCAATATCAGGAGACGTAAGAATAAGATCACCACGCTTCGAGATCGAGCAGGCGTGTGGATTGAGGACCCTCAGGAGTTGGCTGATATGGTTTTCGAGTTTTATACTAACCTTTATTTGCAGGACAACTCGATTTATGAGGATAGGATGCCAAAGAATGCGTTTCCCCGGCTTGCTCATGAGGATCTCCTTTCTTTGTTGAGGCCTTTCACCATTATGGACATTCACCAAGCTATCTTCGAGATGAAGCCTTTTCAAGCCCCCGGGCCAGATGACTTCATGCTGCCTTTTATCAACAAGCCTGGAATGTGGTGGGGAAGTCTTTAACGGATATGGCTCTGACGTTCTTCAATACCGGGGTGTTACCGGGAAAGGTTTCAGAGTCTACCGTTGTGCTCATCCCCAAAGTATATCACCCCGAGTTCGTGACTCAGCTTCGACCTATCTCACTCAACAATGTGATCCTTGAGGCCATTACCAAGGCGATCACTAGCAGGTTGAAGCTAGTTATGAGGAAGCTCATATCCCCTCGGCAGAGCAGTTTCATTCCTGGCCATCAAACAACGGATAATGTCATCATGGTTCAGGAAGTGCTCCACTCCCTAGGGAAGAGAAAAGGAAGGAAAGGAGGCATGATTCTCAAGATTGATCTCGAGAAAGCCTATGACATGCTGCGGTGGGACTTCCTTCATGATACTCTTAAGGAAGTGGGTCTCCCCAGCTCTTGGATCAGCTGTATCATGTATTGCGTGAAGCAGAACAATATGCGGGTCCTTTGGAATGGAAATCTCTCCTCAACCATCACTCCTACTCGTGGAGTTCGCCAGGGAGACCCTCTCTCTCCTTATCTTTTTGTGCTTTGTATGGAGCGTTTATCTCACAGAATTGACGCGGTCCTCCATAGGCAATGGAAGCCTGTTAGGCTCACTAGGAATGGACCGCCTCTGACACATCTTTTCTTTGCAGATGATCTTTTGCTCTTCGCAGAGGCAGAAACAAGGCAGATTAGGATCATCAAGTAGTGCCTTGACGACTTTTGCTCCAGCTCCGGGCAGCGGGTCAATTACGCCAAGTCCTTGTTGTTTGTCTCCCCTAATGTCGACAGAGCCAAAGCTCGTGTTCTGAGCTCTAAAGAGGAAATTCCCCTGAAGATGGAGATTGGGAGATATCTTGGCATTCACGGCCTGCACGGCCGGGTGACGGCAGGGAGATATCAGGGCCTTCTTCTGCGCATTCAAAAGAAGCTGGCTCCCTGGAAAGCAAAGCGCTTATCCTTGGCTGCTCGACTTACTATCTCCAGGTCTATTATTTCCTCTCTTCCCACCTATCATATGCATACAGAGCTACTGCCTAAGGGAGTTTGTGCTTCTATTGATCGTATTAACAGGGACTTTGTTTGGGGCGAGAAAGAAGGGAAATCCAAGCTCCATCTAGTTGGGTGGGAAAAGATGATTCTTCCTAAGGACCACAGGGGGGGGGGGGACTCCGATCGGTGAGGAATGCCAACCTGGCCATGCTTGCCAAAAGTGGGTGGAGACTCCTCAAGGAGAAAGATGCTCTGTGGACTCAGGTGATCAGGGATAAATATGGCCGGAACAAAGATTACCTGGAGAAGTCTTGTCAAGGCTTCTTCCCTTTTAAAGGGAGGTTGTGCATGGAATATTAAGAATGGAAAAGCTACTAAATTTTGGCATGATTCGTGGATTGTGCAGGAACCCCTCCTGAATCTGGCGGAAGAGGAGATTCCTTACTCGCGTACTGATGAGGCGGTGACAGATTTGTTCTCGGATGAGGGAAACTGGCGCACAGAATTGTTTGAAGGCCTTCTCCCGACAGATATACAGATGAAGATCCTTAGTGTGGCGGTGGACAAGCTCTCCAGCGAGGAAGACACCCACTTCTGGTCGCGGTCTTCTAACGGCCAGTTCACCACGAAGACTGCGTACCAGGCTCTTTTACCGCAAGGAAATGATCTGGATGCCAAGTTCTGGAAGATTATTTGGAGCCTCCTAGTCCCGAAAAGGATTAGGTGTTTCATTTGGCTTGTTTGTCTTGGCAGAATCGCGACAAACGTCCTCCAGCATGCTAGGAAGCTCGCCGATTCGGCAAACTGTGGGAGATGCAGCGGGCAGGTTGAAACTATTCTTCACATCCTCCGGGACTGTCCCCCGGCTATGTACTTCTGGGTAAGGCAAGTGCCAAACGAAAGACAACATGCTTTCTTCTCGGCGACCACAGCGGATTGGTTGCGGATGAATCTCGTTGTGGGCGAGGAGGAGCACGAGGTGGTGCAGTGGGCTGCCTTCTTCAGCATTGCAGTTTGGTTGCTGTGGAAGAACATAAATGACATGTGCTTCAAAGGTATTTCTTCCACTCTCACCCCTCCATCTTTGACCCACTCGATTGTAGCTAAAGCTAAGCTATGGAGCGAGGCTTGGAGAGCTCCCTCCTTATTGCCGAATGGTAGGAGAGCGACGCCGCCCCGGGTTTTGGTGAATATTGCGTGGAGCCTGCCCCCTGATGGGTGGGTGAAGCTTAATCTCGATGGAGCATCTAATGGGAACCGGGGCTTGCTGGGACAGGAGGGGTGGTGAGAGATGGAGCTGGGCGATGGCTTGGCGGTTTTGTTGCTATGATAGGAGAAGCTTCTGCAGCCTTGGCAGAGTTGTGGGCCTTTTATCATGGTTTGGATATTGCTTGGAAGCTTGGGTACCGACTGATAGTGGTTGAATCTGATTCGCTGTTGGCCATCCAGTTAATTGAAGATAGACATGGCCCAGTTCACCCCTACGAAATCTTACTTGCTGTCATTCGCAGAAGAGTTAGCCGTGACTGGCTGATGCGCATTGCTCACGTATACCGGGAAGGGAATAGAGTCGCGAAATGGCTCTCGAAGCATAGTCTCGTCTATCCCTACGGTATACAGGAGCTTGTACACCCGCCATCAGAAGTAGGAACCTTTCTCTAGGACGATATTCAGGGAGTTTCTTTTGAAAGGCAGATTGTGTCCCGCCACTCTAACTCTTCTTCCCCTCTACCCCTGTAACTTCTCTTTTCTTGGCACTAGGGATGGCAACAAAACCCGAACCCACGGGTACCCACCCGACCCAACCCGGTCAACGCGGGTAAAACCCGTGTTGACGGGTTTTGGGCCGGGTTCGGGTTTAAACCCGCTACACTATTCACCGGGTCGGGTTGGGTTTGGGTTTAGGTAAACCCGCCCCATGGGTACCCGCCCACACACATATAATTACTTTCCCGGTATATTTAACATTCTAAATAATATATCTTCCTTAAACAACTAATATTCTTTATGTTTGTGGAGACATGTATAATTTGTTCTTTCTAATTGTTTAGAATGAAGTTGATATTATGAAGTGAAGAATGAAGAAACTTAGTTGACGAGGAAGAAACTTTCAATTAATCTTATTGTTTATAGATGTTTATCTTTAATTTTGAACAATTTGTATTGATCATTTGCGGTTTGCTTGTATACTCTAGATTGGTGTTTTTTGTATAATTAATTTGCATGAGAAAATTGATGTTAAACTTTTATTTTGAAAGAAACTTGTTATTGTAAATTTTTTACTAGAAAAACCCACGGGTACCCATGAACCCGCGGATACCCAGCGGGTTGGGTTGGGTTTGAGTTTTTCAAACCCAACGGGTTTTACCTCGGGTTTTTTTGACGGATAAACCCATTGGTTTGGGTTTGACAAAACCCGCCCCAACCCGACCCATTGCCATCCCTACTTGGCACCTTTGCCTCTCGCTATGAAAAAAAAAAATTATCCACTCGGAAATACATTTTCATTTCTAGAACTTCTTGGTCATTGCCATCACGCGCATATCGAAAAAGTTCAAAAAGCCCGTTGATTAAACGAAACAGCGGACATAAAAAAAAGGGGGGAAATTAAATACATTTCCAGCTGAGACAGCCAGCCAGCCAAAAAAACATTAAATAAAGAACAAAGACAACCAAAAAAAGAAAAAGATCGAGAAGAAGAAGGAACGAAGAACAAAACAGTCACACAAACTCGATTTATGTTCTGAAATTAATAGGGAAAGAGAGAGAGAAAGAAAGGAAGGGAAACTGCCGGAGAATAGTGAAGGTCTCAACAATTTTGTTACCGTCGATTCCATTTCCTCATGATTTCTGTCAGATCTGATTGATTCCCTGTCCTTTTCAACTCACACTTCTTTCGCCGTTGATCGGCGGAAGGCGACGGCGGTGCCGAACCCTAACCGCTTGGCCGTGAGTGTGGACGACGATATGTTCAGATTCGAAGAGGAGAAGATAAGGAAACGAATTTGATCTTTTCGGTTTCCTGTTTCTTTTTTTTTTTTCTCGCTTCTCTTTGCTTGCCTGAGGGAAGGGAAGGAGGAAGGGAGAGGAGGAGTTTGACAAATTTTCTCGGAAATTTGGCGGTGCTTTCGCGGCGGCTGCTGCTTTTCTGGACATGGCCGACGCGCTGTCCGTGATTCCGGCCAACGTGCTGCGCAATTTGTCCGATAAGCTCTATGAGAAGCGTAAAAATGCAGCTCTGGAGGTTCTGAATGCTCTCTATTCCTCGTGCTCTGCTTGAATTTCTCGGTTTTGCTTCACCACTGAGAGGCTTTTGAAAATTGTCTTGGATATGTAGGTTGAGGGGATAGTGAAGCAGCTGGCGGCAGCAGGCGATCATGACAAGATATCGGCAGTTATCAATTTGTTGACCTCTGAGTTTACTTATTCTCCTCAAGCCAACCACCGGAAGGTGACTTTGAATGACTGGACTTCTAAAAATTCTGTGTCAGTTCAGTTTGGCTGTATTGGGTTTGAAATTCTGCGGAAGAGAATGCTGAAATTGAATCTTGTCCTCCGATTTTTAATGTTTCAGGGTGGGTTGATAGGTTTGGCAGCTGCAACTGTAGGGTTGACATCAGAAGCAGCTCAGCATCTTGAGGTAATTCAATTTCCCTCCTTCACTGATCTTAAATTCTTATATGTTTTTCTCTGTTGTGTTCAGTATTTGTGATGGAGGATTAATTAATGATTCACAGTTCCTAGGCCCTGTTTCCTTGTGAATTCCTTAGATACATTGTGATTGAGCAACCTCTTAACACGCTATGCAAAATTTTCCCCTTCCATTTTGTTAATACTGCTCCTTGTCAGCCATGCCAACCTTGATCAATAGAACGTGGGTCACGTAATAGAGCACACAATGTTGAGCAATCCGTGTGGATATGTTAACTTGGGTTGGATTTAGTAATTAACAGGATAACCTACTTTTATGCATACCAACCATTTTATGAACCATTTTCTTGACCTTGAAGTTCTGAAGCATCATCTCCTGTGGGCTTAGTCGGCTGGTAGCTAGCGTAGTAATCTCACTCATTCAAAGAAAGATAGAAAATGAATCAAAGTGAGCAGTTTTTGGAATAAAATCTATATGATCTGATTGTTTACCAGCAATGAGAATTTTCATGTACTTATATGGCTTATTGAAATGACAAACGAAACAAGAACTGAGCACTTCATCAGAATCAGTATAGGAATGTCCAAAAGAGTTTGTTGTCGTTGTTGTATGTTTTGGAGGGCTGAATCGCTAAATAGATAGATTTGGCTTTTTGAATATTATGTAAACTAGATACTTAGCTTTGTTGAATAATTGAGGTCACTTCAGTTGGCTGTTCCTTGTGTGCATTGAACTTCACTTGGGGACCTGACATGGGGTTAGGATCTAAAACTCAGTAGTAAAGAGTGACGAGCTCTGTCAGTTCTGGTTTCAAGATTGGTGAAGGTTGAGTGTCTTTGTGTCTCCTTTTGGCCGTACACCAGATAATTTTGCAAAATGGTCTGTAACTATTAGATATGTAGTCAGTTGGCTTCAGTCCACAACTATGAAGAGTAACTTACTACTGGATTGAGCAAATAATTTTGGATTGGAAGTCTTCCGCGGATCAGTCGTCCGAAGATGTTGCTTGAGGAGCTAACTTGGGAGGTTATATAGCCCAGAGTTATTAACTCGCTATAGTGTCCATGTTTCTTGTTCATGATTAACTAATTATAACTCGCAAAGAAGTGTAATTTACTTGATGTGTGAGTAGGTTGATTGGAGTTGCCTTGTACGAATGCTATTGTTGTTTGTTCTTTCTTTTTGTACTACACATAGTTGCCAACTGCTCATATTCTGTTGTATAATGTTTCTCCCTTCAATGTTGGATTACTTCTCTTACTCATGCAACTTTGTGTATCACTATTCCGCTGGTTGCATCTTACCAGCAAATTGTGCCACCTGTGCTTCATTCTTTCTCTGACCAAGATAGCAGAGTTCGGTATTATGCATGTGAAGCTCTATATAACATTGCAAAGGTGAGAATTGATTCCTAATTTTGCATGCTGCCTATTATTTTTCAGGCCTAGACATTTATTTCCCTTGGTTCATTTCCTGTGCAGGTTGTCAGAGGGGATTTTATTGTATTCTTTAACCAAATATTTGATGCTCTATGCAAGCTTTCTGCCGATTCAGATGCCAATGTACAAAGTGCCGCTCATCTGTTAGACCGGCTTGTGAAAGTGAGTTGCTTTTCCCTCTCAGTTACAAGTTCACATGAATGACCTAAACTTATTCTTGAAGTTAGTATCCTTCGCTTTTCAAATCGCTTCTCATATTTTCCTTCATGTCACAGGACATTGTCACGGAAAGTGATCAGTTCAGGTACGTTATACTGTTGTATTTACCTTTTCCAGGCTTGGCAGCAGACTTCTTAAGTCCTTGTAAATATTTCTTGATCTCAATGGTTCTATGGATGTCAGCATTGAAGAATTCATTCCACTGTTGAGGGAACGTATGAATGTGCTGAATCCCTATGTCCGCCAATTTCTGGTAGGATGGATTACTGTTTTGGACAGTGTTCCTGATATAGATATGCTGGGATTTCTACCAGATTTCCTTGATGGTAAAGTGTACGCCAAGTGTGAAATTTTCTGGTTTTGTTAAAATTTGTAATTGGTTGTTGGCATTTGATGATTATGGACTTACATGAATCTCAGGTTTGTTCAATATGCTGAGTGATTCTAGCCATGAAATACGGCAACAAGCTGATTCTGCACTTTCCGAGTTTCTCCAAGAAATAAAGAATTCCCCAGTAGGCCTTCCTCTAATATTCATACTCTTGTTCTACTAGTTACTCAGAAAACTTTTAATGTGGCTGATTCCTTGGTTTTTTAATCCTTTGTGGTGGGTTGGGTCTTTTCTTAGAGCTATAGTGGACTTTTGTGTTTTCTATATCAAAGTGAGATACATCTTTTTTCATTTGTAGTTTTCTGACTTGAGCAGTGCTACTGTTGAAGTCTGTAGATTATGGGCGCATGGCTGAGATACTGGTGCAAAGGGCAGCTTCTTCTGATGAATTTACTCGGTTGACAGCTATCACTTGGGTGAGTGTACTGATGCTGTATTCTACCTATTCCTTATACTTAAATCACATCTTGCTATTTGTATAGTGTGTTTTACTTTTGGGTTTGTGCAGATCAATGAATTTGTGAAACTTGGTGGGGACCAACTTGTGCCTTATTATGCTGATATTCTTGGAGCAATTTTGCCTTGTATTTCTGACAAAGAAGAAAAGATCAGAGTGGTAAGTTGTTTCAACTTTCAAAAGTCGGTGACAAATTTGACACAATCCTTACTTGCAAATGTATTTATCCAAGAATTGAAATTTGCTCCCTGTAGTTGTGGTGAAACCTTTAGTAATGGAAGTATTTTTTCCTCTTACTCTCTTGGAGAGATTATCTATATATGTAAAGTGATATATGTCTGGTACTCCTGTATTATCGTTGGTTGGACTAGTAAAGGTATCCAGTTCCAAACCACTATATTATCTTTCATGGTTTGTTTGTTATTAACTCGTGAACATCTCATTCTTTGATGGATAACCTATTTAAAGTGACATTCTTTATCCTTCTTTGGAATGGAAGAATATAATTGAATCTGAAATTTGAATTTTGATGGTGCTTGTGTGTGCTGTCCTGATTTTTCTGTCTCCATTTTGAAATGGAGGTTGCCCGTGAAACGAATGAAGAGCTTCGAGCTATCAAGGCTGATCCTGCAGAGGGGTTTGATGTTGGAGCAATTCTCTCTATTGCAAGGAGGTTTGGTCTTGTAACTTTGAGCATGAGAGATCAATTGCTTTCGTTATAGATAACATGTCTGTCTAATTTTGTTATTTTAAAGCTCTCTAGCAGACGTTCTTCGGATATATAATTTTCTTTTATGAGTATTATTAGTCTCATTGCGATTGTGTACTTTCTGAACTGTCCAGACAACTGTCTAGTGAGTGGGAGGCTACCCGAATAGAGGCATTGCACTGGATATCTGCTCTTTTGAACAGACATCGGGCTGAGGTATAAGATATTACCTACATAATCTCTGCATGTTTTGCTTCGTTGATTCGGAAACCAGAGTGACGTATCAGGTCTGCATTTTAAGATATTTTGATAGTGGTATAAAGTGAGTTATTGAAAGGAAGAGGCGTGATATGACTCTTGGTCCAAGATTGCTTCAGAGTTACTGATTTGTTACTATATATGGATTCTTGATTGGACTATATATTGGATTAATAGTTGGAGAAATGTGTGATTAATATTAGTTCACAGATAGATATGTCTGTGGGAGGAAGGCATTCTGCATAAATTGAACAATTCAGTTACTGCTCTACTTTTTTATGCATGAGTTATTTTCCCGTTTACAGATTGATGATAAGACTTAGGTGCATGATATTTAATCCTATCTGTTGCATGAAACAGGTGTTGAATTTTCTTGATGACATATTTGATACTCTCTTGAAAGCTCTATCAGATGCTTCTGATGAGGTAATTTTAAGTAGTTGATTGGATGGATAGTTACCTCAGTTTTGTCTCGTCTTCTTTCTGTTAAATGTTATGTTTAGTAAGCTTGCAATTATGTCATTACTTCATTGCCTGTCTTTTTTCCGCTTGCTGGAATATCAATTGGTATTGTATGAAATGGACAATTCCAATAGTTTTGATCTCAGATTTCATCCTGGAAGTTCCATTATTGCTTCAATACATTCGATTGCTCATATGCTGATTAGTAGTGCATTCCCGAACCTTGGTATTTATTTATTTGTGGTGGCTTGGGGTGGGAGTTGGTTGGTTAGAGGATTCATTGTTAAGTTCCTCCACAGTTTTCGACTTTCAATTTTACTGCTCCATCTTTAAAGCTATTATTATATTCATCCGATTCAGGACATGCTTACGAATAGTTTCTTACACTGGAAAATTAGCTTCACTGCATGGTCTATACCCTCAAAACTATTATTTTTCTCTCGCCCATTAGTCTAGATAGTTCTCGGTGGATGTCACATTCAGGTCATCATGGGAACAGTATATGGAAAAGGGAACAACTGATGATGTTAGTCCCTGCGTTTCTAGTGATATAATGTTAATAGTTGATTCGTTTCTTCGCTTGTAGTGCAGTAAATTGAGTAAACGTCATTGTTCTTTAATTGCTAACCTATGTGTACGCTTTATCGTTTTTCCCATGTATTTTATCGCCTGTTCTTCATGTGTTCTTTGCTTACGTATCTGATCAGACTAAATGATACTAATCCTGCAAATCTTGCAATTACTTTATATGGAGTTTGATGCTGGAACTGCATGTTACGTGATTTGATGTAGTGTAGACCTGAATCTTCATATAGGTTGTACTGCTGGTTCTTGAGGTTCATGCATGCATCGCGAAGGATCCACAACATTTCCGCCAACTGGTTGTCTTCTTAATGCATAATTTCCGCATTGATAATTCTCTTCTGGAAAAGTAAGTATTTATATCCTTAAGTTTGCTTTGTTGTCTTGTTCCCAAGGTTTGGTATCAGCAATTACATGATTTTATTTTTTGTTTTTCTAGGCGTGGCGCCTTGATCATTCGGCGACTTTGTGTGCTTTTAGATGCTGAAAGGGTATATAGGGAACTGTCCAAAATACTTGAGGGTGAAGCTGACCTAGATTTTGCTTCTATTATGGTTCAGGTTTGTGCATCTGGACGACAATTTTTTTCCTACTGACCTAGTACTTAACTTACCTAGTTCTTAGAACTTAGGGGCCTTCTAGTGTTGTGCTGGGTTGTGGTGAGGCTTTTGGTTTGCAAGAGTTGCATTTGCGTAGGGTGAGCTCAGTTGGCTATATATCAGTAACTGACTTAATAGATTCAAGTAACAATTAAGCTTTGGAGGTCCTTTTCAGCTATTTTACCAATTTGGTGCCAAGCTGACTCTTAGAATTGTAGGAAATTTCAGAGCTATACGCATTAAATCAAATGACAGTCTGCATCTTAATATCATGTTTCAAGTTTATAGATCTTCTTTTTTAATCTATCTAGTTTATATACTTAATAGATTCAAGTAACACCTAATACTCTGTTTTCAACTTAATGACAGTCTGCGTCCTCATGATCATAATCTATCTAACCCCTTAGTCCGATTTACGTGGCAGATTTTATAGTTAGGTCCAAAATTTTGTTTGCTTCTCTTTACTTATGTGCTCTATTCTGTTTCCTTCAGGCTTTGAATTTGATTTTGCTTACGTCCTCTGAATTAGCTGAGCTTCGAGATCTGTTGAAACAATCACTGGTGAATGCTGCCGGGAGAGATTTATTTCTATCATTGTATGCTTCGTGGTGCCATTCACCAATGGCCATCATAAGCCTTTGCTTGTTAGTACAGGTAAAATAAATAATTCTTTTTTCGGATAAATTTGAGGTGTCACTTTTCTATAGCTTTGATTGCCATCTCTCCAACATAATTCCCTTGTGATCTCCCTCAGATGTACCAGCATGCCAGTGCCGTGATACAATCACTAGTGGAGGAGGATATTAATGTGAAGTTCTTGGTACAACTGGATAAGCTGATTCGTCTGCTTGAGACTCCGATTTTTGCTTACCTAAGGCTGCAGGTATTTATTTGAAAAAGTATAATGGCTATTGCTCACATTTACTCTAACTGTTTCATATATTGGATTTAGCTGGGTACGATACAATAAAACAAGGACTGATGATTTTTGTGGGTTGGGATACGGTTGCTTTCTTCTCCCCCTCTTTCTGAGCCATTTTGTGGTCCATGCAGCTTCTTGAGCCAGGAAGATACACATGGTTGTTAAAAGCCTTGTACGGTCTTCTCATGTTGCTTCCCCAGGTATGCCCTCATGAAATGCCTGCTTCGTTTTTGGTTGGCACTGATATGCATTCAATGTATGATAATTAGCAGCTAAATGATTGCCCTTTGCTGAGCTTTATTACTATCTACGAATCTCAACTTTCCAGAAAAGTGTTTGCCCTTGATAGCAATTGTATGGTGGAAAAGAAAGTGCATGTACTACTTTCGTTTTTTTTGGCGTGCGATTGAGCTTGAAACAGAGACATCATTCCTTTACATTTTTCAACGAGTATAAACAGAATGAGTGAGTGATCCTGATATGTTCCATGGGTCCCTGATGTAGTTCATTTTCCCTTTTTCAAATACAGCAAAGTGCCGCTTTTAAGATTCTACGGACTCGATTAAAGACGGTACCTTCATATTCCTTCAGTGGGGATCAGGTTAAGTGGACATCTTCAGGGACCCCGTATTCTCAAATTCTACATCACAGTCCAAGCGTATCACAGATCTCAGAGGATGGTGATGTAGTGGGGCAGGTTTTGGGAAATTCTAATTCTCACAATGGGATTAACTTTACTTCAAAGTTGCAGCAGTTTGAGCACGTCCAGCGCCAACATCGTCTCCACACAAGAGAGCTGGCACATTCACGCAACACTTCCACTAACACTTCATCAGCAAAGGTAAGGTGTTTGGGTCTGCATGATCGCTCATCCTGTTATATTTCTGGATGTGATTTATTGATTTTCTGCTTTTAGTGAACTGTGAACCAATTGTGAATTTGCGGTGTAAGTCTATTGCTGTTCGATCGATGTCTAGTCAGTCTATCGGCTGTGTACACATGGAAAGGACCCCATTTACGTTGAGGACTGGTCTAATTTGGGTGCAGGAGGTTCAGAGGTCAGAAGATGCGCGAAGACCTGCGTCCTCATCATCTACATCAACGGTAGAAGTAAATAGGATGCCATCAAGATCAAGGAAAGGCCCAGGGCAGTTACAACTATAATTGAAGTTTCACAATTTCTTCTCTTTTTACCTCTTTTCTTTTATATTTTTAATTCTCCGGTAATATTGGGCGCTATGGTGTTTTCAATCTGCCTTTGGCCTTTTGACGACATGGGGAAGGAAGTTGAAAAGCCTATTGTAAAATTGTATATCGTTAGTTTGCCCTTTTTGTTATAATTTAATTTAATATGTGAGAAAGAAAGAATTGGTGAGCTTGGGGAGCTCTTTTACAGGCCTGTTGAGCTAATATTCTTTTTCTTTTAATATGTAAACAGTGTATCCCTTCCCTGTCCCAATGTGGTTGTGTTATTTTTTAATTAAGAACCACATGGGCTTTTAGAGTAAAACACTATTGTGTTAGAAAAGAACACCTTTTCTTCCCAACTGGGAACCTGAGCTTTATGGTATTTTGGTATGGTGAATTGTTGTGGATTGAATTGAAGAAACTTGGTGCTTGAGGTACACTCAAGTAAAACTTGCACCCAATCCGAAAGACTTTTTAGTGTGCTTGTGCTTGAGGTGTTGTGTGAATGCATAGACAAGATGGTTGTACGACCTTTGAAATGAATATGAGATGTAAATTATTGCCCTCCAAATTTCCACGATGTTGGGCTCTAGTCGGGATATAATTCGCGGTGTAATTTTGAGAGAGTCAGGAAGCATGAGCCAAACACACACGATTCGTCAGGAAAGCAAATGAAGCAATAGAACTCAAGAGAGCCACATCAAGAAAACCAATAGATGGGTTTCAGGCATTGACAAATAACTCAATAAGCTCCACAGAGTTTCAGAATTAGAAGTGGGGAGCATTGACTGTATGCTTAGACACAATCAACCATGCGTTGGTCGAGTTCTAGTTCATCTACATGAGTATGCAAATTCACCTTATTACATTGTTCTGCAATAGATGCGATGTACGGTGGGCTAGTTAAAAGTTGCTAGGAAGGCAAAAGATGCGGAAATCACGTCGACCACGGTTACTAAGTTGGTAGTGTTCGTGAAGGTTTCTCTGTGGAGCTTATTGAGTTATTTGGCAATGCCTGAAACCCATCTATTGGTTTTCTTGATGTGGCTCTCTTGAGTTCTATTGCTTCATTTGCTTTCCTGACGAATCGTGTGTGTTTGGCTCATGCTTCCTGACTCTCTCAAAATTACACCGCGAATTATATCCCGACTAGAGCCCAAGTTTTTAAACTCTAGCGGGGTGTAGTATAGGGAAAGTATTTAATTGTCAAATCCGGGCCGGTCCATGTACCCCTACTTCAATCGCTTAGGTTGTTATCTAGCAAAACAGTTTTGGGTTTAAAACTAACAAAACTACAAACTAAACAAGCAAGGAAAGTAAATGGAGGAGAATTCTACTTGAGTGGACTTCACCTGGGTATTGCTCCCCCTAGTCTCATTCTAAGAAGCAACAAACAAAGTTCCAGTGTGAAGGAAGTGTTCATACACTGCAAGGTGGGCGCAACTAGCTTGGAACAAACTCCCTTAGTCGATCAAAGAAGAAAAATCAACAACTATAAGCTAGGGGAACTAGCTCTCTTAACAGTTAGGTCAAGGATTGTGATTCATAGTTAGGGAACCTAGCCATCCTTACCGATCAACCAAGGAGATTCCTAACTCTCTTAGTTAGCTAATTGAGATTCGTTGCAACAAGTTAGAAAGCTAACTCACTTAACCTTTCGGCTAAGGGTGACAACGATAGGCTAGGAAACCTAACCCTCTCGACTCGCCGACTAAGGATTGTAAACCAAACCCTAAGAACTTAATCCAGTCGGCGGAGAGACCAATCCCGGTGGAATCACCGCCTTACTCAGATACTTGAGGTTTTGGTCTTAAATCGACCTAAACGAGGTTACCCAAGTGGCTAAGAAGTCTAGCTTCCTATTGGACCAAAAGGGGGTTTCCACCCTCTAGGTCAATTTTACCCAATATTGAGTTAAAGCTAGCACACTCAATCATTCATGAATAATACCTCAAATATCATATAAAACACTCAATCAACACAATAGGTTCATGTTCTTACATCCTAAGACATAGGGAGACTAGGATTCACAATACCCAAGTGAGTAGGTAGGCTATTCCATAGCTAGACAAGAGAAAACAACAAAAGGGGAAGAAAGAACCATGAAGTGATGCCAATCTTTCCTCCTTGTTGCTTGAGACACTCTTGAGATGAAGAAATCTTCAATCCTCTAGCTAGGAACAAGCCCAAAGCTCCTTCTTCATCCTTTAATTTGCACTTTCTCACTCTAGAAAAAACCCTAACCTCTCACTAGAATCCTCTTTATTCTAAAAAATGAAAACCTAACCTCAAAATGAAGCTCTCTTCCATCCTCCTTCCAGCTCTCACTTTATACTGAGATCACGCCCAGTTCACGGCCTGAGTTCACGGTCGTGAACATCTAAACGCGTCTGTGAACTCAGTTTCGTGGCCAAAATGCACCGCTTCACTTCCCGAGGTTCATGGTTTGTGCTCAAAGTTCACGGTCTTAGCTACCGTGAAATGCCTTGTCGTCGTAACCTCTGGAACCTCGCTGGACGCCTCGATGTTCATGGTTTGTGGTTCCAGTTCACGGTCTTGGGAGACCATGAACTCCAATGTTGGATCGTGAACTGCGGCTCCTTCATGGACGCCTGCGCTTTACTATTACGACGACTTTTCTTCGATTTTTGCGCTTTTTGACCTCCAATCATCCCGAAACTCGTCCTCGACCCTTCCGCGTGTGATAGGACCTGAAATGTATCAAAACAAGCACAACCTAGCGTGAAATATGCCGAGGGACGATGAAATGCAAAGCCAAACTATCAAGAAATGAGGGGTCAAATGTGTACAATTGGACCCGAATCTCTTCCCTGAGATCTCCTTTGATTTCCAGTGCTGCTTCGTCGTATTGGAGTTTGTCTGCTACATACATTGCGGTCAATTGGAAACACGGTCTATGGAGAGGCTGATCTTCCATTAATAATCATTGTTAAATTATGAAAAGAGGTGAATTCTTAGGTTTAGTAGTATTTGAGTCGTATTAGGACGATCTTTAGGTTTTCTGTATTTCATACATATATGACAAAAGCTAGCGTATGCCGGTCGTACACTATACGCTTGTGTTCACAGTAATTATTTGTACTTTGATAATTTCTGATATGATCCAAATCTGAAAAGAACCCTCGAACTCAGATGTATGACCAAAGTATGCAGATTCAACGATCTTTTCTTGATTTCTCCTTCTCGAACTTGAAATAAATGATAGATATGGAATCAATCGGACAATCCTAACTCGTGACAAAGGACAATTGGTATATTAAACCAATCATGTAGAATCAACTCGTGGAAAGGGGCAATTGATATAAGATAGATGCTCACCACAACTAGACGCGTCATCTAGTTAATAAGAGACACGTGAAACTCCTAGTGTTTTCCTTAAGAAGAAAATAAAATAAAATTAGGCTTGGCCAAAACGACCATGTTTGTTCCTTCTTTCCTTATTATTAAACCATTGTCGATAAACCTAAGAAGTAAAACACAGCTTCTACTTTGTCGACGTAATGGCGATTTTAATAACACTATAACTCGGCTAGCCATACTTAACACCTATGGCTAAAAAAACCCCATATATCATGACAAGTCTCAATTTCACTCCAACGACTGTGATGTTATCGGTGCAACGCTATTAGTGTCTATGCAACTCATACCTTCACTTAGTCGACAATATAAGATAAAATCAATGAGTTGTCTAAACAGCATGACTGCGACAGACACATGCAACATTTCATGATAATCACATAGAAAAACTTCTACTTCTTTCAAAATTTCAATTAACTCGTACCTGTCAACATCCAGCAAGTTGGCACCGATTAAGGCTAGCTCTGGAGCAGCACTAAATCCTTCTTCCACCTTGTGACTCAAACCATTGTCGTTGTACGGAAAATCATCATCGCCAGGAACGTAGTCGGCCATCAAGACAGGCTTCATGCAGACAAGCCTTTGTTCGCACTGATAGACGACCAACTTCTCCTGCAAGACCGTGATTTCGGCCTTCGCCACCTTCTCTCGAGGTGGACTACTCATTATCGACACTTTAGAATTTAGTGGACCATCTAATGCAAACAAAGATGGTCTCACAATCTCAGAAAATGGATTCAAGTACGCCTCACTTTACACCATTGAAACATCACCATTGCACGATCCTTCTTCCATGTTCCTAATTTTCCGAGGACCAAAGCATCTGTGGTACAAAGGAGCTTCGACAACGTTGCCCCCCACAACATTAACCATATTGATGCTGGCAACATTAGGAACGGGCCAGTATCGACAATCATGGCCTCCTTCCTTGGCTCTGATAATTTGAACCGACCTTTTTCAAAGGCATCCTGCACCACGTTTCGAAACATCACGCACATGTTAGTTGAATAAGATGCACTGTTGTGCCACTAACAATATTGTTTTCCCTTTAATTTTTCATTTGGCGAGATAGCGTACCCTCCAGTCAATTTAATTTGACCATCTTTGTAAAGCTGGTCGAAAATCAGATATGATTTTGAAACATAGAAAGAATATTTTCTAAGTTGAATTGGAGCACGATTGGGCTTTCCACCTTGTGGTTCCCCATCTAGGGGTGTTCAAACGGTGTGGTTACCATGGTAACCGTTTTAACCAATACTATTTGGATAATTTGGTTTGGTTAATTTGGATAATTGGTTTGGTTTGGTTAAAGTTTTTAGCTTGTTTGGTTTAGGTGGTTTGGTTTCAGGCACTCCTAACCAGCCAAACCAAATTAACCAGATAAATAATTAGCCATATATCTAATATATACACATACTTAATACTTTGAATAACCACTCAAGAGTTAAACGTTCATCCTTTTAGACTCATAAAATATAAAGCTTGATATTGTTCCTATTATGTATATTTGTATATGTAGAGTGTATACTACAACATATGAACGCCTAATTTAGATAGATCTCATACATTATGTTGGATGAAAACTTGAAAGCAAGGTCCTTTTCAGCCTATCAAAATTGCTAAAAGACTAAGTCAATTCAAACAAACACAACAATTCATTAACCCCATACCATTGTGATAAATTTTTGTTAGGTGAATACTTCTATACTAACCGTAAGATAATTGTGTTAGTTGCATGCATTTATGTTAAGGGTCAACTATAACTATGTGTTGATTGTTATGTTTTATTCATTATTTTTTATGAGAATGTTTTATTCATTATATAAGTTGTGAATTAATAATTTAACCGAAAATTTTCTCACTTAATGATAATATGATTTTATATTGGTTAATCTGGTTAACCAATTAACCAAACCGATTAAACTTTAGTTTGGTTAATTTGGTTGTTGTATTAGTTTGGACGGTTTGGTTATGATAT